AGCCACGCCCTGTATGTGCTCGCCGCCTGCGAGAAAAACAACCCCCTCAGGCAAGTCGTCTGGCAAGCGAAAGGCGGAAAACGTGCCACCCGACAAGGAGTTCGGCGTCAAGGCGGTCTTGACTGTAAGGCCGGGCGAGGAAGGCTTCGGGGAGGCGGCTGCGCTGGTGGCTTTGCTGGAGCAGGAAGAGGCAGCCTTCTGGGCAGGGCCCAAGGAGAAAAGTCTTCGTTGCCTCCAGGGATGGACCCCACTCCCTCTGTACTCCGAGTCACGCAGTTGCGTACTGCGTCGACATGTTGCGGCCAGGAAAACGGGCGGGGGTCTCTGCTGGATAGGTCCCCGAAAGGAGCTTCTCCCCAGGCCTTCCCCTCGTCTCCCCTTGCGTTCGCTTGTCGGGCGAAGGTGCGGCTTCCTCTGTGCAGGCTGGGGTTCGGAGGCGGGCAGGGGCGAGCTGGGCAGCCACAGGCCGCCCCCACCCTCCTCCTCCCCGCCTCCCCGCAGGAGCGAGCCTGCCCTTCCCCTGGGTGGACGTCGCGGAGTCGACGCAGCCGCCCCTTGGCCCTGCGACACTTTGCCAAAGGACCTGCGCCAGCCGACCTGACATACAGTCCTCCACGGGAGAACATACGTATACCTAGATACCTCCGCCCCCTCCCTCCTCCCTCCTCCTCCCTTCTCCTCCTCCTCCATCCTCCTCCTCCTCCTCCTCCTTCTCCTCCTCCTCCTCCTCCTCCTCCTCCTCCTCCTCCTCCTCCTCCTCCTCCTCCTCATACTCCTGCTCCTACTCCTGCTCCTCCTCGTCCTCCTCCTCCTCGTCCTCCTCCTCCTCCTTCTCCTCCTAGTCATCCTCCTCCTCCCTGCTCCTACTCCTCTCCTCCTCCTCCTCCTCGTCCTCGTCCTCCTCCTCCTCCTCCTCCTCCTCCTCCTCCTCCTCCTCCCTCCTCCTCCTCCTCCTGGTTCTCCTCCTCCTCCTCCTCCTCCTCCTCCTCCTCCTCCTCCTCCTCCTCCTCCTCCTCCTCCTCTTGCTCCTACTCCTCCTTGGCGCCAGGGCCCCCGCGGCCTCGAGGCGACGGTCTGGAGCCGCACTGCACCCGTGGGCCTCGTAGCGGTAGTGCTCCTGTTTGTCTCCCCCCCGCTCCCTCTCTCTCTCTCTCTCGGGTCGAGGCGGCGGGGCATGATCAGCCTGCATCGAATCGGAAAGTCGGGTTGAGCTGACAGGTGCATCGGATCGGGCTGCATCGGCACGGAATCGAGATCGCATCGAATCGACTGCACCAGGATGCACAACAGAGCCATGTAAGCATCGGGCCGAATCGGATCGTCGGGATATCGGAATCCAATCGGATCGGGTCAGCGAAAGTAGATATCGAATCGGATCGATCGGATCGAATTGGACCCTGGGTGGGGCTGCCATAGAAGAAGAGCTGCCATAGAAGAAGAAATAAAACACAGAAACATCATACGTCGAAGGCCCGCTCAGATGTCTTGCCTCGACGCTGGACCCGCCTGGCACTCTGGCGCCGCCCCTGGCGCGTCGCGCGCCAGGCAAAGGGGTCCAGCGCCGATCCAAGACCGCCGCGGAACTCCGAAAGTGCTTGTGTATGCAGCTCGGGTCAGACGAAAGGGTGGGAAACACAGGGGGGCAGGCGAGTCAGCTCACGCCACGCCAGGAGGCTCAAATGCATAAAGGCAAGCACCCGGCGACGGGGCCGAAAGCAGCTAATTACACGCGGCGGATGTCACAGCTTCCCCCCCCCCCGCCCTGAGGCCCCCTGCCATCCGACCCCAGCAGCAGAGGGCGCAGAGCTGACACTCGTGCCCGTCCCCGTCGCCCCTCTTCCTGCGAGGTGCGGGCCTCGGACTTCCTCCACCGGGCTGCGGACCTCGCCGTCCTCCCTCTGGGGGGCAAGAAGACTCCGATACCGCAGAAGGAGCGGGAGGAGGAGGAGGAGGAGGAGGAGGAGGAGGATCATCCTGCGGAAGATGAGACTGGGCAGGAGCAGGACGGCTCTGGCGAGTATGAGTCGACACGGGAAGAGGACGAGCAAGAGGCGTCGCGAAATACGCTTTTGCAGCAGATCTTGGCGGGGGCCCACCCCGGACCTCTCCCGTGGCGCCTTCTCTGGCCAAGGCTTCGAGGCGAACCCCCGCCGTGGCCACGAGGGGCGGGCAGCGGCATCGCTGCCGCGTCCCGCCGTCGCCGCTTCCCGCCACTTCGAGAGGCACCGCTGCCGCTTCTCGCTGCCGCCGCCGTCGCCGCCAAGCGCTGACCGCGCCCCTGACGCCGCCGTCGACGCCGCCGTGGCCGGCGGCCGTCCCGCCGGCCGCAGCGCTGCAGCGCTCGCGAGGCCACCGCACTGCCGTGCCCCCCCTTCCCACCCCTCCGCGTGGTCGTGGCCGCCGCCAGGGTGCGGAGCGAGGAGCGAGGAGCGCGGGCGGGCGGGCCCCTCCGCCCCCCTCGACCCCCAGGCGGCGACATCCCACGCCTGCCCCCGCCGCCCATCGAGCTACCCGAATCGTCGTTCGGCGAGGGTGTTCGGAGTTCGCCGCTGATCCACCTCCCCAGCTCAGGCCCTCGGGCCTCGAGCCTCGAGCCTCGAGCCTCAGCGGCGCTCGACGACGACGAGGCCAGCGGGCGGAAGACCTCAGGCCCCTGGCCGTGCGGAGGCGCTGCCGCGCAGTGGCACAGGCCGTGGTAGCTCTCTTCGGCGGCCGCGCCGTCTGGCCACACTGACAGGAGCGGAGGAAGGCCACGGCAGGTTCCAGTCCCAGGGAGGGCACCAGTTACAGCCATGATGCTGCCATGAGGCACGCTGAATGAGGAACGAGGAGGCTGCTCTGGCCAGAGCAACAACCCTCGGCCACGAAGCGGTGTCCCGACCTGGATCCACGGAACGGCCCGAAAAGGACGGCCCCTCCTGAACCCAAAGTGGTCCTTCTCTCAGCGTCTTGACTGTGTACACCTGCACCGATCCTGGCCAGGCCCAGGCAGATGGCCAGGACCGGTGCAGGCGCGTAGCTGGCGCCCTCAGAAAGGCGTGACGACTTGCGCGCTGGGCTCCGACGCCGCGTGGATCGTTCAGCACTGCACGGCCGCGGCGTTCCTGCCGCGCGGATCGCCCGCTGTCGGCAGACTCCGGGCCACCGGCGGCGTCCCACCCTGAACACCCGCGCTGGGGTCGGCGCCGCGTCGACACGACACGAGCTTGCCGCACGTCGCACTCCCCCTGTCCCTCCCCCCGCCCCGTCCCGCACCCCCCGCCGCAGAGATCCCCAAAGAGGTACCGTACCCAGGAGGGTTCTCTGGAGGATCTCCAGAAGCTCCCGAATGGCCTCCCAGAGGCCTTCCTGCGGCCACCCGCCATGGGCACCAGAGAGAGCACCACGACACCCAAAAAATATGATCATCCGCCCCCTCCCCCCCTCCCCAGTCATGCCATGTCTTGATTTGTTCAATACAGGATCCCAAGAAGGCCTGAAGCAGATGTTTCATCCCGAATCGATATTCGACAGTCCTGGAGCCCGGCGAAGGCCCCGGGGAGCCGAGGACTGCCAAAAATCTCCCGTCGTGACTTTTGCCACGACTCGACAAGATCTGGGTTTCCTGCTCCGCTGCACCGAGCTTCCTGCGAGAAACTGGCGGGGATCCCAAAACCGTGTGGTGACAGACCGTGCGGTGACCTCGGAACCCCAAGAGACCTCGCCGCACGGTCTTGGGACCCTGGAGGCCCCAGTCGCCCGAGACATTCTCGGAGAACGTCCCGAGTTCCAAAACCGTGCGGCGACCCCGAATCCACACCGACTCACAACACGTTGTCGTCACCACCCCGCTTGGGGGCCCCGGGGGAGGGATCGCGACGTCCTCGCAGAACTGCAGCTGGCAGGCGTCGCACGTGAACGGCAGGTAGTCCTGCCGCCTACGCGGCCGCTACATGTGGCGGGGGCCACGGCGGCACACCGCGAATTGCCCAGCGCGCAGAGGTCGGGAAGCAACGCCTGGGAGGTCTGCGTAGAACGTCTGGGGACTATTGCTGGACTTGGGCAGATTGGGCATGGGCCATATAGGGGAATGAAAAATGGCATGAACAGAAAAGCCCGGAGGCCCGCGCAGAGTTCTCGGATCCGCGCCGGAGCCCCCTGCCGGCGCTCCGGCGCCGCCCCCGGCGCGATCCGCGCGCCAGGGAGGGGGGTCCAGCGCAATCCAAGAAATCCGCGCGGACCTCCGGGTTTTTCTGTTTATGTAATTTCTCGTTCCCCTTGATTAAGCGGGAGTCGGCGGGAGTAAGGCGAGTTGAGCAGGATACTGCCAGATCAGGCCAGTCTTCGACCACAGATGTACAAACGCCGATCCTGAATCTGACCTCGCAGGAGTTGCATCCTGAAAAATTGACCCAGGGCGAAAAACTGGCCCTGCTGCGGATGGAAAAATAAAACAGGTCGGCGGATGTCTGGGTGTCCGAGAACAGTCGAGATTGATTCGAGAGGACAAGAAGACACGAGATCCTTCCGAGGGCCACATTGCCATAAGAATTCAAAATGCATGGGTCGCGAAACTCAGGACACAAGGGCATCCTGGAATTGGAAGGGTCGATCTGCTCATCAACCTCGACTGTACTGCCTTCGTGCGCACTCAGCCGCTTGACCAGCGTCCGTACCACACCCAGCCAGGCGGCGCAAGGCTCGTGGTGCCAAGCCGGAGGACTCCCGGACACGCAAGGACAGCCCACAGCTTCGCTGCTGACCAATACAGTGAAGTTTGATTAGTAGGTCGACCCTGCCAAAATAAGGGTACCCTTGTGTCCTGAGTTTCGCGACCCATGCCTTCTACATTCCTATGGCAATGCTGCCCTCGAAAGGGTCTTGCGTCCACTCGCGTGTCCTCTCCAATCAAGCTCGACTGTAGAACCAACGGAAAACATGAACTCAGCTGGACGCCAGGGAGGACAAGGACGAAAATAGGCAACACGCGATGATACAGGATATTATTGGGACCTCTTGCCCGCGATCATCCTACGCCGAGCGTAGAGGCATCCCCGTCCCCTCCCATCTCTGAGGTTGCCGGAGGTGAACCTGGCGTTAGGTGCCCCCCGGCCTGTCGCGACGTCTGGGCGCAGCTGGGGCACTGGGCGTCTTGAGGGGTGCTCTGGAGACCACGTCTGCTCTCCCTGTGAAAACTTGTTGTACTGGGGCCAGATAAAAGACACAACCAACCTCTCACGATCAGCAGCCCAAAACTAAGGAGCGAACTGGGAGCACATTGGTTTGCAATAATTAGCTGCTAAATGATGCCACCACGACCTGCAGCTGGCAACTGTCAGAAGCACCAAGAACCACAAGCAGAGCAAGATGCCGTCCCTTGTCCTAGTTTGTTCATCATATCTCCAGAGCCTGCCAAACGAGGTGACTGACGACTGCAGAGGCCTGGACCAAACCCTGTCACGAAAATGGTGGAAAAGACAAAGTGGACAGCACGACGCAAAGTTCAGCTGAGCGCGGCACATGCGATGGGGCACCCTGCATGATCTTGCCGCAAACAGCCATGCACACTTCACCCTCGACTTTGCTGAAAATCGCGAAGATGTGCCAAAGAAAATGCACCCTGTATGAGCGCCGTGCAGAAAATCCTAAATGAACAACATGCAAGCCTCTTGAAAAATGTCTAGCAGCCCTTGATGTAATCGCCTAGTGAGATGCCATAATCGTCTGGCCGCCTTTTCTCTGAAGATAGGCCATGCCCTGTAATACATCTGTCGTCATCGCCATGACGGCTCCTTAGAGGAAGGCGGTAATCTTTCTTGGTGAATACTCGTGTAAGACGGCCATCATGCGACAGCGTAGACCCCGTGGGCAAGACAATGAGGTCATATCCGCCATCGTCGTTCCTGTCTCGCCGTCGCGCCCTCTGATCACGAATGGCTGAGCAGCTCAAGAGAGCAGCTTGCTCCAGATCTTGGACACAACGATCGGGATAAGAGCCATGTGGCAAGTGTTTCTGCAGTCGCATCGGAGCCTCCCATGGGCAGTGGATGAAACGTGCAGGCAGGGAGCCCAATTCAGGGCACCATCGACGAGTGTAGTCACCTGTCGGATCCATTCTGCGGCCAAATTCTGATGGATGCATCGTGAAATTCCACTGGTCCAATCCAGACTTTCCAGCATTCTGCCACATCATGGGGTTGATAGCTGGGTCTGCATCCACCAGTGTGTGATGAAACCATCTAGCACCCTCGGCCCAATTGACATTCAAGTACTCCACGAGAAAGATAGCTACGACCATCCTGACATTCTGAGTCATCCACCCCGTCGCCCACAACTCCCGCATGCCAGCATCAACAATCGGATACCCGGTCTTACCCTGGAACCATCGTTCGATTGATGTTCTGTCAGCGTTCCACTGCTGCCCTACGTAATGTGATCGTATGGGCTCGTCTGCCATCTGCGGGAAGAGTCGAAGCTGCCAGTAAGCAAGATCTCGCCATACCAATCGCCGCCAGAAAGTTTTGGCAAGGTCCTTGGCGTTGGCTGCCTTGGAGGCCCAATACATAGTCCTGCTGCTGAGCATCCCGAAACGCAAATATGGGGAGATGCGAGCCACGGCCGAGGCATCGGCAAGATGACGCTCTGATTCGTACTTCGAGAGTCCTCCTCCTTCTGCGAGGAATCTATCCAAAGCTGCTCGCGCGCCCTCCTCGCTGATCTGCCAACTCTTGACGATGGAAGCTCCCCAATCGACAGTGGAGCCGTCACGTCGAATGGGCAATTTGCATATGCCAAGCCCCGCCAAACCAACGTGGGACGAAATCCTTGTGCTCTGCCCACGCAGAAGCGTTATAGGCTCCTGCTGTGGCTTGCGCGGTGCAGGCTGGGAGTTGCAAGCGAACAGGAAGGGCACGAGGGTGCCAAAATGGCCACGGTGCTCCCGCATGTCTACACGTATCTGGTCAACGTCATTCAGAAGATACGAGTTGAAACTCGTAAAGGTGATACCAAACGTCTGCAGAGACGATTTGACCTCTTCGTCTAGCTTGCGACCAAAGGTGTCGTATGCTTTGCTTGTCACGATGGTGTCCGACCCAGTCTCCTGGACTGCCTCCAGCAAGGCGCGTGTAGTTGTGCCTGCGATGAAACTAATGTGCTGTCCGTACCACTGCTGATAGGCGGCGTCTAATGCCGCCAGTGCGTGATACAACCACAAAGAGGCTGCCGTCCCACCAAGCCGCCAATTGCCATGCGCAGCGTCCTCCTGCTCGGACCACACGAAAACTAGGTAAACCGGTCGCTTGAGGCATGCTGCGTGCACCAAAGCTGGGTTGTCATGGATTCGAAGATCAAAGTTACGGATCCAAACCACGACTCCATTTGCTGTCGCCGCTTGCTCAGGAGCCGCTGCTGGTGTTGCAGACGAGTGACTGCACTGACTGTGCAATTGTGGATTCGAAAATCGCTTTCGCCCTGCCGTGGCTTCGTCTGCGAAAGACAAAGAAATTCTCGGAACAATCGGTATCTTACGATCAGAACGAGCTACCATTCTGAGGGAAGAGGCACTTGCGACGCCAGTGCTAGGTGCGCAGGCATCTTCATGAAGAGCACTCGCGGTAATGTTAGAACTCTCATGCTGCTTGCTACGGCGCCATCTACCAGCACACCTTTCCTCTTCGTGCTCTCTTGCCAAGGTTGCATGCATCTCAGCGCGGACTTTACAAACGCTCTCCCAAGCGCTCTGACTAATTTCTGCAGCCGCCAGATCCATCTCGCGGAAAGAACAAGCGGTTGTAGCTGTAAGAAATTCGGTCGCCTCGTCCAGGGCCTGCTGCGCATCTGTCATAAAAGAGTCATAGTCATCGGGTCTGCATGCGATGAGCCCCTCGAGCCGCTGCCGAATGTTTGCAACATGCTGGCCAGGTTGTGACTCCAGTTCGGTCCTTCGGCGCTGAAGCTCCACCAGGAGATCTCTCGCTTTCTTGGGAGGGCGATTTTTGCCCATGGAGCTCTCTGCACGAGCGTGGCAACGTGAGAACTGCTTCGGCCGAAATGGCTACGGAGCTCTCCCTGTGAAAGCTGCGCCGCCCTGGCTGGCAACGCACAAGGCGGTGGTGGCGCCGAGGGGGGTGGTCCCCTGTAAGGGCAGAGAGGGCTCAGAGGGGGGCTCTAAGAAGGCCTGGGCCTTCTTAGAGCCCTCCCGGTCTCCGACTAGCCTTCTGAGAGGCCTCACAAGCCCTTCTTCAGAGCAGGCCCCATCCTTCTGAGAAGCCCTCCCGGTTTCCGAGAATGCTTCCCCCAGGCTCTTCTGCAAAGCTGGGCCCCTGCCTTGTTAGAGCCCGCCGTGTCCTTTCAGAGGCCCGCCCCCCTTCGAGCCTCCCCCATCTGCGCGCCGTCAACTTGGACAAGAGCCGCCTCTCGGCCACCGTGTGACCGATCCCTTATTATCCCCGCTGGCGCAGCCGTGGCCCAACTGGCCGATTTACCCACCTCGATGGGATGTATGATCCAAGGGTGCCCCCCCCCCCCTCCCGCCCCCCCCCCCACATGCATATGGGGTCGAGCCCCCCCGCACCGCATGTGTACGCCCGTGAGCCTCGCGAAGTATTCGCGAATGGCTTCGCTCACCCACCCACCCCCCGTGGTCGTGGTCCTGTGGGCGTGGCGTGGTGGAGGGTGCCAGTGCACCCTCCCTTCCTCCCCCTGTGGGTGTTCGGTGGCTCGTCGCCGTCGGCGTCGCCGTCGCCGTCGCCGTCGGCGTTGGCGTCGGCGTCGCCGTCGGCGCCACCGCCGTCTTCGTCGTCGAAGTAGGCGTTGGCGTCGGCGTTGGTGTCGGCGTCGTCGTCGTCGGCGGCGGCGTCGGCGTCGGCGGCTGCGTCGGCGTCGGCGTCGTCGTCGTCGTCCGTCGGCGTCGGCGTCGGCCGCGTCCGCGTCGGCGTCGGCGTCGGCGTCGGCTTCAGCGGCGTCGGCGTCGGCGTCGGCGTCGGCATCGCCGGCGTCGGCGTCGGCGTCGGCGTCAGCAGCGGCATCGTCGCGACAGCGGCGGCGTCGTCGGCGTCGTCGTCGGCGGCGGCGTCGGCGGCGTCGGCGTTGGCTTCGGCGTTGGCGTCGGCGGCCGCGGCGGCGTCGGCGTCAGCGTCGGCTTCGGCGGCGGCGGCGTCGGCGTCGGCGGCGTCGGCATCGCCAGCGACGGCGTCGGCGTCGTCCATCGGCGTCGCCCGCGTTAGCGTCGGCGTCGGCGTCGGCGGCGGCGTCGGCGGCGGCGTCGGCGTCGGCGTCGGCGTCGGCTTCGGCGGCGGCGGCGTCGGCGTCGGCGTCGGCGTCGGCGTCGGCGTCGGCGTCAACGGCGTCGTCAGCGCGGCGGCGTCGGCGTCGGCGTCGGCGTCGTCGGCATCGGCGTCGTCGGCGTCGGCGTCGGCGTCGGCGGCGTCGGCGTCGGCGGCGTCGGCGTCGGCGTCGGCGTGGGCGTCAGCGGCGGGCATCGTCGCGACAGCGGCAACGTCGTCGCGGCGTCGTCGTCGTCGGCGGCGGCGTCGGCGGCGTCGCGGCGTCGGCGTCGCGTTGGCGTTTGGCGTCGGCGTCGAACGTCGTCGTCAGCGCGGCTCGGCGTCGGCGTCGGGTGGTGGGCAACGGCGTCCCGGCATCGCGGCGTCGCGTCGGCGTCCGTCCGTCGGCGTCGCCCGCCGTCGGCGTCGAAGTAGGCGTGTCGTCGTCGGCGGCGGCGTTCGGGCGACGGCGGCCCTGCGTCGGGCGTCGGCGTCGTCGTCCGGCGGCGTCGGCTCGGCGGCGTCCGCTTCGGGCGTCGGCGTCGGCGTCGCTTCCAGCGGCCGTCGGCGCGGCGTCGGCGTCGGCATTGCGGCGTCCGGCGTCGGCGTCGTCGGCGCCAGCAGCGTAGCGGCACTCGTCGCGACAGCGCGGCGTCGTCGGCCGTCGGGGGGGTGGGGGGGGGGGGGTGGGGGGGGGGGGGGGGGGGGGGGGGGGGGGGGGCTCGTCGGCGGCGGCGTCGGCGGCGTCGGCGTTGGCTTCGGCGTTGGCGTCGGCGGCCGCGGCGGCGTCGGCGTCAGCGTCGGCTTCGGCGGCGGCGGCGTCGGCGTCGGCGGCGTCGGCATCGCCAGCGACGGCGTCGGCGTCGTCCATCGGCGTCGCCCGCGTTAGCGTCGGCGTCGGCGTCGGCGGCGGCGTCGGCGGCGGCGTCGGCGTCGGCGTCGGCGTCGGCTTCGGCGGCGGCGGCGTCGGCGTCGGCGTCGGCGTCGGCGTCGGCGTCGGCGTCAACGGCGTCGTCAGCGCGGCGGCGTCGGCGTCGGCGTCGGCGTCGTCGGCATCGGCGTCGTCGGCGTCGGCGTCGGCGTCGGCGGCGTCGGCGTCGGCGGCGTCGGCGTCGGCGTCGGCG